TTATAATCCGTTTGGCGCTAATGGCCGTTGATTCTAATTTAGCTGCAGTGTCGAATATCTTTTGTTTCGATAGCGCGATCGCCTGGCCTGCGGCAGCACATGCTTGGAAGTTATCCTTAAATAACGCTGTGAGGTGACTTAAATCGTTATCTAGTGCCGAGACTTTTCCACGCAGTTCGTGTATAATCGAACCTTGCAGGTCAAAGGCGACTAGAGCCGCTTTGAGTGCTAGCCCAGCCGCTGGCTTCAGCCACCTCATGTGGTATGGGGATTTTCCTCATGGGTAAGGTGTCCACGTCGGAGGATTCAGAGAGCTCAGAATACATAGTTCAAGAGTAGTGGTACTAGTAAAATATAAATCGCAATGGAATAATATGGAATAGAGTTAGTTTAGGGTGGCCACAATTAAAGATTTAAGCAAAAATATACAGAAAAACACTTATAAAACGTAAAAATGCGAACTTATTGATCCACGACGGATTTTCAACCGCGCGCGTTCGTCAAGACCACAGGAAGAATGCCCAGTGATATGCACTTAACGTCCACTTAATGCGGCAGAAAACGGATACTCACAGACTCAAAAAGAAGCGTTGACTGCATTTTGGGCTGTTCGACGATTGCACAGGTACCTTTTTGGATTGCGGTTTACCATCATTACTGATCACCAAGCGCTGCAGTTCTTATTCAACCCCAACAAATCCATCACGAAGTCCACTGCTGCTATGCTGCAGAGGTGGATTATCGCTCTAGTGGCATGTAACTATGACATTCAACATCGTCCAGGAAAGACAATCCCGCAGGGTGATTTCCTCTCTCGCTACTCACGATTTTATGAGGCCGAACAGTGTCATTTCATCTCCCCAGCATCACTAGTGTCTCGGGAATCTTTACACAAATCCACCAAACAGCACTACTCGGTCGTACTCTCAGTGATCAAGGAAGGCTGGTCACTGGAGGTAAAGAGTAAGTATCCTCAATTCTTTGCTCACCAAGAGGGATCGTCAGTACAATTGGATGGTGTATTGTGTCGCGTCGATCGATTGGTAATCCCGCCGTCACTACGGAAGACGGTACTAAGAGAATTGCATAAAGGACATATGGAGGTGGAGAAGATGAAATCATTGGCTCGATAGATGTGTTGGTGGCCGGAGTTGGACACAGACATTTACGCAACAGCCAAGAACTGTGAGTCATGTTTACATAAATTACGAACAAGACAGAAAAACTGGACACCATGGCCGGAAAGTTATATACCATGAAAAAGGGTTCATTTGGATTTTTGTGGTCCATTTCTAAACCGGTACTACGCCCTAGTTCTGATCGATTCATACTCCAACTGGTTAGAGGTATTCTTTACGACTATGCCTACAGCCTCATTTGTGATACAAGTTCTACGGAAATGTTTTAGTCGCGAAAGGATTCAACAAGTGCTTGCGACGGACAATGGATCTCAGTTCTGTGCGACCGGTTTTGACTTCTGCTTTTGTAGGCATGCTTCGCAGTTCTTCGCAGTTAGACCAATGTCTTCATCTAGACCGGGCCACTAACACATCTGTCTTGCCAAAGACTTCATCTACTCCATCCCTAAGTGGCCTTTGTGCAGGTCTTCTGGCACTGCCTTGCGTAGCGGGGGTGGAATAATCAGTCGATCGTTGCGGCATAGTATTCCGTCAGGTTGGACACTGATTTCTTCACGGTGTGCAGAGAATACTACGAACTTCCGCTTCAGGTCGGGACGTTATCCTTTTGATAGAGCCCTTATGATTTCTGCATAGTATCTTTTGGTACATCGACGCAACTCCTCTCGGGATACCGGGGAAGCAGTAGAAATGAAATGGTAGCTCTTAGCCTCGAGAAAAAATCGGCCTGGGGAATTGTTTTGCCCGGACGGTGCACTATGTCATAGTCGTACGCAGCCAATGCAATGTTCCATCGCTGAATCATCGCCGCCGTTGGTTTGAAGATCGACTTTTGTGGACTGAATAGATATTGCAACGCTTGATGATCCATTACGATGGTGAAACGCAATCCAAACAGGTATTTGTGTAGGCGACGGACGGCCCAATGTACAGCTAGTGCTTCTTTCTGCGTCAGCGAAAATCCTCGTTCTGCTTTGTTGAGTAGACGGAAGATGCAGACTACCGGACAGCTTTTCTGTTCGAGGACGGCACCAATTCCAACATCTGATGCGTCGGTGATCAAAGTTGGATGTTTTGTCGGAGGAAACGAGGCGAGTACTGGTCGGTCAGTTATCATCTGAATGATTTAACGCAGAATTTGTTCACACTCGGTAGCCCATTTCCATTCCGTAGTCGACTGAGCAGAAAACCGCGGTTGGGCTATTGTGGCGAAGTTCGGGATGAAACGCGAATAGTATTGGAGACATCCCATGATGGATCTGAGTTTGTTTTGGTCTCTTGGTGACTCGAGTTTAGTCACTGGGTGGAAGCGACTTTGATCAGGGCGATAGCCTTTTGTATTCACTGTGAAACCCAAGAATTCCAATTCTGGTGAGCTGAACATGCATTTGGAGGCGCGAATTGACACGTTCTTTTGGGCGAACCGCTCCAGTAGTTTCAGAAGTCTATCGTCATGCTCGGCCTTCGTTGTGCCAAATACAATGACATCGTCCTGGTACGCTAACACGCCATCGAGTCCATGGATGACTTCTTCATTTGCCGCCTAGAATATGCCGGAGGATATGTGGAGACCAAACGGTAGGAAGTTGTATTGATACAGTCCCCATGGTTTGTTGATAGTGGTGAAATGCCGGCAGATTGATGTGAACGGAATCTGGAGGTATGCATCAGCCAAGTCAATCTTCGAAAAGCATGTGTTACGGTGCAATGCTTTCATGAAATCCTCCGGTGGCAGCCGCACACTTTCGCAACCGCGGGTTAAGTGTTAAGCGTTAGTCGCCACAAATTCGCGGTGTTTT